CCAACACAGGAACCTTCTTCAGAATCTGAACAACAAATGACAGTAGAAAAGTAAAGAGGTGCGCAAGTTGTGACAGAGCTTCTAAAACCACAATTTCCAGATTAGCAAGCGGTCACATAAAAAGTCTCTCGTTTTTCGAAGGCAGGAGAACCTTCGAGGTCTGCTCCAAATGTCAAACTGAGCAGGCTTCTCCCGAACACATCCTGGACTGTTTGGAACTTTCCAGAGAAGACATATACTCCTTCCCCCTTCTGGTCCTAGATTTTCTTCGGTCAACGGTCTGATGGACCTTGTCTGACTTCGTCAGCAATTTGGAGGATAAGTCCCAACAACAGAGATGAGCAAGTACAAAGTTACTCGAGAACAAAGTTTGACAAAGTAATTATCACTCAGTTTAAAAATTTCAATCGTTAGATTTAAAATGCATCAACCATAGTACTGTCATATATATCTGGCAGTGAACGCATTGATTCATATCTTTTTAATATCCAGTAGACATGCGTGATTTCCTTACTTTTCTTCTTCTTGAAATCTAAGACTAATTTTCCCTTCCTAACATGAAAAAAGTTATTCTCTTTAAAGTTTCCCTGTCTTCTGAGTTGAATTAAAAATTATGAAGCTAGATACAAAGGAGAATGTTTGTTGCCTTTAATCCGTCAGGTAGATAAGTGATGAAATAAAAGAGACCAAAGTCACACCTTTTTAAATCCATCTCCATTATAATATCGTTTTCTAAAGATCTAAGATTGAAATAAAAGATTTTAATATAATATAAATAAAAATATAAATAATATAATAATATAAATAATAATATTAAATAAACAAGTGAGTGATGTTGAACCAATTAAATGTTGTGAGAATTATAACATAAGAACAAAAAAAATCATACCAAGAGATATACTAAGATCATAAGAGATTAGTTCTTATTTGAAAAAAAAAAGATTATTTACCTTCTGGTAATGTTGAAAACAAGCAATTTTATTGAAAAAAAAACTATTTTATGGAATCCATAGAGCTGATTAGAAGTCTTATATAAGATTTTGTTAGTTTCAAAATGTAGCATTAATCCTGAACAGTTATGTGGAAGAAAAAACAACTGTAAATCTAAATTAAGGCTCGATGCGTAATGTTGCCTTAGATGAAAAATAGAACTGGAACTCAATTTCTCAACTCTCAACAAATTTTAATGTAGTGTCGCCATCTGTTGCATTTTAAATAAACAAACCTAACCCTCATATTCGATTTTTTTTTCCTTTAATATGTGTGCAGATTTCTAAAACTTTTAACTTTTGATAGCAAAAAAAAATAATAAAAAATAATAGGCACACTATTTTTGCACCTCCAGAATTGTTTGAAAATGTATAAAATATCAGAAAATAATCGTGAACATCGAAAATTTTGATGCCCTTATTATGTTAAATTCAATTAATTAATCCTAAAGTTGCGGTTTGACAGGGTTACGGTCTGTACAACCTAGAGAATAGATCGAATTCGATTAATGATTCCTGGGATTCGCCCATATATATATAATAAATCCAATATATTTTAGTAATAATTTTGAAAAATTGTGACAAAAATTACAATTTTTGAAAGATTTATAAAGAACAAAGAATTAAACAAATTAATAAAAAGAATTCAAAAAATGTATGTAAAAATATGAACTATTTTAAATGTTTAATACAATAACATATTTATAAGTATTTCTGAGGAAGAAACTTTAATTGGGTTAAAATATCACCAATTTTTAAAGGATTTAAAGTTTTAAAATTCTAAAACTTCCTTGTAAATAAAAAAATGCAAATCCTCTTGAATAATTTGAGGATATGAGTTTGATTTTGAAGATAACTTTTTTCTCTTCGTAAAAGTTTAAAACCTAAAACTATTTAAATTTCAACAACAAATTAAAAGCAATAAAAAAAAATTTAAAATTGTTTTCAAAGAAACAAAAATTAATTTTTTACTTTGAAAGACAAGATATATCATGATTTACGTCTTTCTAACTTTATTTAAATGAATTACCATGTTAATGCATAGAATGAAACATATTTTCTTTAATCCTATCAATTTAGTTTCTAATTATAGTATTAATTAAACTAATTAATAGCCGACAAGTTTTACTTACATATACTGTTTCATTCGATGTGAAAGAAAATTTAATTATATATTTACATTTAAAGTAATTAAAAAATATATTATAAAGAAGAAGCTATAAAAAAATATTGGATTTGTAAAAATATTTTAAAAATTTAAAAATTAATTACATTCAACCTCTATCAATAAGTCGATTATTATTCTTATAGACCAGTGGTTTCCAACTGGCGGCCCGGGGGCCGCATCCGGCCCGCGAAGCCTTTCCTTGTGGCCCGCGAACTAAAATATATTAGTTGTCATTTTTCTGCGGACAATTTTCGTAAAAAATCTATATGGGTTTAAAATACTTTTCTCCTTAATAAAAACCTAATTTCTTCGTTTCTGTGAAATTTATCATACTAAAAGTGCAAAAAAAAAAATTTATTTCTCAGGTTTTGCATCGAAGAAAATATTTATTCAAATACAAAAATAATCGTGTATGTTGCTCTTTTCATTTCATTTTGCATGTGTGTATCAGAAATTTTCTCGAAGAAATTGTCCGATTTAACTTTTTGAAACCACTCATTTTGGACGAAAATATTTACACTCACATTTGTAAACTTTAAATTTAAATATCTATTCTCAGGTGGTTGCAGCAGACAAACCTCAATTTTGTCATTGAACATTTTGTGTGCTACTATAAAAGTTTTAATACTAACCTTTTAAAAGTTTTATATCTTAACAATTAGATATCTGTTGCACATTAATTGTTTTATACATGGGTGCACATTAAAGTTATTGTAGCCCGAATTTTTTAATATGCAATTAAATATTTTTAAATATAAACTTTTTATTTTAATTTGTAATTCAATACTTTTGTTTTGTACAACTTGGTAAAAATCTGACAATAATATTTAATGTTCCTTCAAACATAAAAGAGTCCTACGTAAAATTTTGATAAAGTTGTGGTCCGCCATTTGATTTGCGTTTTTAATTGTGGCCCCCGGCCTCATATAAGTTGGAAACCCCTGTTATAGACGTTACATGTCAAATGATATTATGCACGTGGCAAAATATGGATTCAAATTTTATTGTAAAATCCTTTAAAAAGTGTGAAATTTTGAATTCCTTTGATAGAGGTAAAGACGATTTTTTGGGGGACTCAAGAGATGCTGATCCAAGCAGAAATCATTGCAAAGTAGGATCAGTATGACAACACTGATAGCGTTATTGAATCCGACAAAGATTATGTTCTAGTATACATAAATTTGTATTCTTTATGGTATAGTTTAAAAGTTTTTACTATGTTATATTTTATTAAAAACTCTTGTATAAATTAACTTTTCGTATTCTTTCTGAACGCAATCTAAAGTATTGTCAGGCCCGATTATTGCCTAGGCCCAATGGGCACGGGCCTAGGACCCACACTTTTTGGGGGGCCTCAAAAATTAGTAAAAAGTTAGCAATATAACTTTTTTTTAAAAAAAAAATACTGAAAGGAAAAGTTTCTCTCAAAACAGGCATTTTTTATTTTTAATTTTCTTTATATTGTGATAAACCAAACTCGTGTAAAGATTGTACTAATCAAATTCGAAAGTAAAGCTGAATTTTAATTGGTGCAATTTTTACTCCCAACAGCTCGCACAAATAATAGTCTTCAATTCCAGCATCTATAGTCTACATCAATAATCCAAAGCACCAATAGTCCACAGCATCAAACCCTTTACCAATACTGAAATCCTGACCTATGTTACTTCACGTTGACAATCAAACTACAACCATCCACAGATTACAGCAAGTTGCTCTTATTATTTTCATTTTCCTTCAGTTATACAAGCAAGGTGCTTGTCTCCCTGTAACAGCCACCCCATAGACTGCTGAACACAAACTGTCTTTTATTTTAACTGTTTATTCCATTTCATGATGTATGGGATAAGGGCCTTCTGCGCGGCCCAGGTGCCCAATTTTTAATAAAGAAAGAAAGACAGACTCCCAACAGCTTGAGCAAATGCAACGAGAAGGCATATTCGCAAAGTCTCTTATAGATTAGTGTCAAAAAGAACTAAAAGCTTATTCTTAACAAATATGTAAAGCTGAAGATTGAAGGCGGTAGTGACTTTTACCAAAAATCACTAATTTCAATTGTTTGTGGTCACCAAACTATTTTTTTTTCTTCATACAACATTGTTTTGATGTTTTATGTTTTGCTTTAATATTTAGATGCGTAAACTTTATCTGAGAAAAAGAATCTTCAATTGTCTGCTTTCAAAATGTTTTAGAATGTTTCTCTTGTAATGCAATTCAATAGATTCTTTTTATTGTTAGGACTACTCTTCAGAAATTTGATTTAAAAATATTTTGTCAAGGGCCCGGAAAATTTTGCTGCCCTTGGGCCTGAATTTGTCTTTATGGGTCCCAAAGTATTGTTTTTAAAAATCATTTTTATAGAACACAAATATGACCAGAGAAAAGGTAAAATAAGTTATATATGATATGTTAAATAGTTTTTTAAAGGGGTAAATTATTATAAATTTATTCATAACCTCATTACAAAATTTATAGTACATCGATAAATCACAATCAACGAATGTCCAATTTTATTACGGGTATATACCCTGATTTTCGTAAAAGTTTTAGGATTTGAAAAGTCATCTTACACACAATGATATACGGTAGTCTTTGATATTTTGTAGAAAAATTGAATAAATATAGAAAGTAAAATTATTACGGAATAAAAAATTATGCAGTATAAATGAAAAAAATAGAGCCGAATGTGGATCTTTTCATTTAAGTTAAACTGAAGAAAAAAAAGTCATCTTAAACTACAAATAAAAAAAATAAGAAGAAACGTCACGTTTCTTTTCTAATAAACTTCCCTCGGACAACCTGCGATGAAACTAAATCGAAATACACCCAAATATAACACGCAATTTCTTTTTTGAAGATTTATTATCAAAAAAAAAATATATTAATTTCACAATTTTAAGTTCAAATATTGAACTCTCTTGAGATCTCAGACCACGGAGAAATCCATTATCATTTATTTGATAAAAAGAATTTCAAGGTTTTATCTAGAAATGAAAAATTTGACAAGCTTGATACCATTCTTTCTAAAATGTTCTTTCGGGCATCTCTTTTTGCTACTTCTTTTCAAACACACCTTCTTCAAAAAGTTCTTTCCAGACCTTCCCATTGGGATACTCGAAGTTTTCTATGGATTGTTCTTTCATTTTTGAAGAGTAGCCTGGTGTCTCTGGTAACATATAGCATCCATTTCTTACGACAACAGGAGTTTCGAAATGCTCATGTAGATGTTCAACGTATTCTACCATTCTGAAAAAGTAATAAAACTTTTAAAAGGATGTCTGCAACAATTTGATGCGCATTGTCTCGGAAAGCATGTAATATCAAAATCCAGATAAATCTGAATATATCTAAAATATCTTATAGCGTATCTAAATATCTATAATACCTATAAAAATTTTCCAAGAAAAATGGTTAAATAAAAATGTATTTAAATGTTATTTTAATATATTCAAAAAAGCAGTCAAATACCTAATAATAAAATTATATTTAAACTATTGACTGTGGAAAAAAACTGTTTTTTAACTGTTTTCACCTAATACGGTTAAAAATCCAGAACTTTATCGCACCAACAAGGGCCACCTAATTAAGCCGCTTACTTCCCCGCAACTGGGTACTTATAGCTGAGAGGGATATTTTGACTAACTCATGGCTGACAGTACAGGGGTTCGACTCCCAAAGTTGGCACCACAATATTTCCTCTATTTCCCTCAACGCATGAAGAGCATTCAGTGTCCTGTACTATTAGAATTCCTTGTGACCCTGGACCAGTGGTCAGAGAAACTACATTTTCCTTGACGTTAACTACAACAACTTCCTTACAAATGTAGTATATATTTTTTGTAAGAGTAGCGACTACTAACTACTTTCGAAATGCAGTCACTTTTTCACTACTTTTAGAAGATAAGCTTAACTAGCGAGCTTAAATTTCACTAATATTCAAAATGAAAATTTTCATTTTTTTCATCATTTTTATTTATTTATTCATTTATTTATTTGATTATTGTTTATTTTTGCAATTCACCATTAAATGCGTCAGTACCTTCTATCAAGTGATGTACCACAAGAGATGAAATCCCACATGGCTAAGTGTTGCACCAATTCACATAATCCTACACCACCAGCATGAGGGCAAACTGGAACTAGAATCAATAACCAAAACATTTTAAACAATTATCTACTTTATAAAAACAGAAATTCATTCTTTATTTAAAATAACTAAATTTTTATAAAATAAATATTTTAGTTATTGCATACAATAAATTAACAAATAACTAGAACTCTGTGCAATTATTTGTGAATGATAAATTTAGACTAACTTTTATTTAATATTTTTCATCAATTTGATGTGAAATATGTTCCTTGAAAAAGCTATAATAAAGAAAGCTAACATAGGCATAAATTGTTTGAAAACCTAATGGAGTATTCCGTAAACACCGCCATAAATATTAGAATAAATTATTAGAATCCTTTACGAAAATAAAGTTACAACAAATGGTTGCTTATTAAAGTGCAAAATAGCCTTTAAGTGTTCAAAAAATGGAAGCTATTTTAAGCTATAACATATTATTATAGAGATTAATGCTTCATTGTAAAAATGAAATTAAAAGCAATGAAACTGGTTTGAAACTGGTTGATAGTCGAAGGAGACTAAGAGGCGTTTCTAATAAATGACGACTTGCATAACTTCTTCAATTTTTCGAGCAATTTATGTAATATAATATTCACTTTGAAAAATGTCTTGGAAAAATGGTTAAATAACAGTTTATTTCAATGTTATTTTATCATATTCAAACAAAACAGTCAAATAACAATAAATTGCATGGCATTCAAACTGTTAACCGTACGAAAAGCCGTTTATTAACTGCTTTCACCAAATGCAGTTGAACAACTAGACTTTTGCGCACTAACTAACCCACCTAATGAAGCCGATCAGTTCCTTACATCTGTGAACATATTATAGCCGAGAGGGCTAATCTGTCAATCTCATGACTGACAGAACGGGGTTCGAGTCATAGTGTTGACTTTACAATATTTTCTTCAACACAAGGAAAGTTCCCAGCGACCTGAGTTATTAGAATACGCATACGCAATGCATTCACGCATACCCAATGCCCATTACCTAAGGAAAATCTTAGCTCTAATGTCCAGTTAAACTTCTCTCTTAAAATTTTGAAACCATGCTAGTTGTAAATGGTTTAAAAAAATCATGTTTTGTATTCATGGGTTTTTAACCTTTTTTAATGTAAATAGTTTTAAAACCGTAAAGGTAAAAAAGGCTTTCTACCGTGAACTTCACGCTTAATTGGATGGACAGTCTGTTAACCGTTCAGCTCAGTTTTAATAAAAGCTTTGAAAAGAGAAAAGAAATACCTTTATACTTAGCTGCCATCAAATATACTGAAAGAATTTCATTCACACCTCCAAGTCTACACGAATCAATTTGGCAAAATTGCAAAGCATTGGCCTGAAGCATTTGCTTGAAAATAACACGATTTTGGCACTGCTCACCCGTTGCCACTCCGATACCATAAGGTTTGAGAGCCTAAAAAGATTATAAATTTGATTATGGGGACTTTCCAAATTCGGTGCAATTTGGAAACTTGGCTTAAAAATAAAATTAAATTGGTCATTGTTGATGACTGACATTTATTCTTGTATATGTTTTGTACTTGCTTTAAAATTCAGCCTCAAAATTGAATTAAAATGTCTTGCGCATTTTTTAATAGTCAGCATCAAGAATTAATTAAAATATCTTGCACAGGTTTTAATGGTCAGTTAATCACTTCTCTTGGATAGTGTAAAAAAATATGTACCAAGACATTTTTAAATTTATCATAACATGAAATTTTTAAATATTTGAATGTTCTGAAATTGTTTTACATATTAAAAATTAGAAAGATATAAAAAAAATTAATTTGTCTTGGCCGTTTTTGAACAGTCTATTTTCTGGAATTGTTCTTTGTTAAAAGTTTATGGAAAATCAAATGTTTGGCAAATTATTATAATATTACGTATGATAACTCTTTATCATATGTATCGGTTCGAATCCCAGCGATGGCTAGCTGATGCGAATTCTGCACATGGCTCGCACCAACTACAGTGCTGACGTAAAATATCCTCTGTAGTAGACGGATCATGAGTTCCCTTGCCGTCAGGCTATCCGTTAAAGGTTTCTTTGGGTTTTTTCCTGTCCATGTAATGGTAATGTGGGTTAGTTCCATCAAAAAGGTCTTCCACAAAGGCCAATTTCTCTCAATACTTGATCCAGGAGTTCCCTTGTCTTCTGGATTTGGTTTATAATAATAAGACTACGGAGTTGAACATTGATAATCGTGGATTCAAAATTGGGTCAGCTGTTCAACGACGGTTATAAAAAAATAAATATAAACATTTGTATTTTTGGAAATCACAAACGTTTAAGTGAACAGGCTATTAAATTTCACAATAAAAATATTCTGCATCGAATTTGAAATCCACCCTTTTACTTTGAATTTAACTACACTGAATATAGTAAAAAAACATGCTCAAAACATTCTTTCATAACCATTCTTCCTTAAATCATTATCAAAAGTGATTATTAAGAAGTATGATATGTGGTTGAGTTCCTACTAGTAGAACCTACTCCAAAATTAGCTTAAACTTTTGAATTGTAAACGATCATTTGACTGTGATTTTTTAAACAGTCCACATCATAATTTTCAAGTAACATCATAATTTTTTATTTTGTAATAATTGATGATTAAGGAGCAAGAACGGCTTATGTACATTTTTCACAAAAATGGCAATTGGATCACCATATGTTGCATTTTAAGGATTACTAAGTTTTGACAAATCAATAACGAGGTAAATCAGTTCTCTCAGAGAGTTATTACACTTTTAAGATGGGCCAACTGGGGAAAAACGGGCCCTGTCTACGCGTAGACAGGGCGAACAAAAAGAAAAGCATACTGAAGGAGACTGTGGGATATGTAATGAGGAAGTATTGATTGAAAAGGAATTACGAGGAAAAAACGGTTCTTGACCAATCCTATTTTAAAATTCTATTTTTTCTTAACATTAAAATTTTTTTATTTTGTTTTAAAATTCGTGAGATACATAAATAAATGCTTGCGATATTCATGTATATTCTTATTTTAATGATTTCAACCATACGCTAGCTACTAAGCAATTTCATAGAATCCTTCATGGACATAAACCATTTTTCCCCCTTGGTCTTCAATTCTTTTACTAATATTTCAAAAACATCTGTGAGAAAACTATTATGGCACAGATTAAAATCTTAACAAAACGAAACATTTATTTCATCATTTTTAGAAACTAATGGAATTGGTTAATAACTGATCAACTGGTTCAATGTGCCCAAATTGTGCCAATGGAATTTTCAGTTTCCGTTGTATATTGTATATGAACTTTCACTTCAATGAAAAAGTTGCAATTAAAATATATTATTAGAAAATACTTTCTTTCAAAAATAAAAGTCAGACATTAAGAAAAATTTTAATTTAACGCAAAATCGTTTTCTTAATTAAAAGAGAGAGAATGAAAAAATATTCCCGCTATGAGGAAAAAAGTTACGATGACTTTTGTTTTGTTTGAATACTGAAAAAGTGTGCACAACTAATGAACAGACGAAAGAAAGTTTACTTTTAGTTTTTATACAAACATTTTTTATTTGAATTAAATCGTTCTCGTTAAATTCACAACTTATTCTGTAATTTGGTTTGTAAATGTTTATACTCAATTAATTTATCACCATACACTGCTAGAAATTTCTTGGTTAAAATAGTTAAATAGGAGCTTGTTTAATTGTTATTTTATCATATTCAAACAAAAAAGTCATATCAAAAAGTCATTTTGTTCCTTACAGTTAGTACATACTGTAGTTGATAGAGTTAATCCGTCAATCTCATGACCGGCAGAATAGGGATTCGAATCCCAGCGTTGGCACAACAATATTCCTTCCTTTATTTCAATACATGGAGACTTTCTAATGTCCTGCACTCTTCAATTGGTGACCCTGAACTATTAGAATACGAAATTATCAATCACGCTTAGATGGCGCAGCACCCACAGAGCTCCAATGTCCGTTTAAGCTTCATTTTTATGGCTAACAAACTATGCAAGTTGCAAATGATTACAAAATCATGTAGTTTTGTATTCGCGGTTTTTTAACCGTACCAGTTAAACCCTGTTTCAAAATCGCAAAGATAAAAAGGTGTTCCTATAACCATAAATTTTATGGTCAATCGGATGAGTGATATGCTTCCGGTCACTGTATTTTCAGAATAAAAATTCAAACAGCTTAATAATATTTCAAATACAAAGCACAAAAACGGTATCTAAAGACCACTCAGTAATTTCAATAAAAACTAAAATTCCAATTGCTGAGCATTTCATCACCTGTGCTATTGCTGCGTGTCCCAACACGTCGTCCGGACTAGTTGGCTCTTCAATCCACAGTAAATTAAAATCAGTGAGCTGCTTCATCCAATCAATTGCTTCTTCAACATCCCATTTCTGGTTAGCATCAACCATCTAAAATAACAAAATACAAAGTTCCAAAAAAAATAAGCAGTTGCACAAAGTTTTGTTTGATATGTGATAGAAAAAAAATGAAAGAATACAATCAATTAATCGATTCATTTAAATTCCTACAAAAATATTTCTTAAAATAAAAATAAGCTCCGTTTATTGAATAGTTTAAATGAAAGTAATTTTAGTGTTTATTTTGTTTTGCATATCTTGAGAATTTGAAGACGATGCTCTTTGGATTGATAAAAGCAAGAGGAAAATGAAGTCAGAAACAGATTAGAGAAAAGAAAAAAGCGCAGGTGCCATCGAAAATATAGAATATAAATTAAGGGGGGAAGGAAACCGTGAAAGGAAATGGCGATTTCAGTTTACTTGGTGTGGTTTAGTTTATTTGGTACGATTTCAGTTTACTAATTGTACCAACATTGTTTTTACACGTGCAAACAAATTATTTACCTATGAAAACAGTGCATTTACCTAAAAAAAATATTTTTGAATATAAATGCATTAATTGCAAAAATATATTTAAAAACCTTCTTGTTTCCACGATTTCTATATATTTTTAAATTATTATAAATAAAAACTGGCTTGATAGCAAACGAAAAATGCCTTTAAAACTGTCAGTCCAGGACTGTCAGGGCACTGAACTTTTTTACAATGGCTTACTTTTAAGAAAATATTCAAAAATATTATATCTATAAAATAATGTAAAAATTAGAACACATTTTTTTATTTTTGCAGAATTTTGTTTTATGTACAGAAGTTTAGAAGAATTCAGATGCACTGTTAAACATTCCGGTCAAAATAACGATAAAAAGTAATGACACACTGAGAGCAGCGTCCATAAGATCCATAATTACAGTAACATTTTAATATTATAATTTATACAGTAATATTTTTAATTACGGTGGTGATTCAGAGATATTACGTAAAATATTATAGTAAAAATTACAGTTTATCAGATTTTTTGTTCCGTAAACTTTTACTCTAAAAATGATTTTTGTGCTAAAAAGTACTTACACTCTGAGTGCCAATACTTTTTGCAGTAATTTGATCCAGAATTCCTTAAAGTGTGACCCTTTATAATTCTGAATGTATCCCGAACTATTTAAACTGAGATAACATTCTCTAACCAAATGCCGTGAAATTTGAGATAATCAACCATGATGGAAAGAGATCTAAATGTGAATCAACAGCTGGTTTGTCTAGAGACCCATATTAAATTCCGAATTTTTAATAAAATACCAATTATTAAAAATACACACAATAAACAAATATCAATATCTCATTCTTGCAATTATTGAGAAATCCAAAAATATTAATTCAAACTGTATCTCATAAAGTACCTTTATATAATCTCATTGTGTTAATAACAACAACGTATTATAATACACCATAGTAATTGCATCGCATAAATTTTGTATATCAGAATATTTCATTGTAATTATTAATCTATTATTAATAATTGCAACTTATGGTATAAATAGCTTTTATACCTCATAGTATTTTATGATAAATACAATTTTACTGTTAAATGAAATCATAATGTGGGAGAATAATTGTATCTCGCAATAATTATATAATTATAAATCATAGTATTTCATAATATCCGTATATGATAATAGCACACTCTAAAAAAGCAAAAAATGTTTCTAGAAGACCATCTCATCAAAATAAAGATTTACTTTATTCAGTATTATTTAGCACTAGTGGGCTGCGCCCCCTGCTCGCTAACGCTCGCCAACCCCAGAAAATTGCTACGCAATCTTATATGACTTGCTTCGCTCGCTACTAACTTACGTACCTTGCAAATGCACAGAATTTTAAGAATTCAAAAATATCATTCAAATCCATATAACAACTTTTTTTTAAAAAGAAATTACATCTTTTTAGTAAATACTAAGTTATTAAAATAAATTTGAATTCAAATAAAGACTCATTGACTGAGACTCATTTTTCAATGAATAATTAATAGCAATAATAAAACAAATAAATTCGTGATATAAATCAAAAGTCGTCAAATAAATTCGTAATATATAAATTCGGGGGAAAAAGCACTTTCGACAAAATACTAAAATAGAGATCTATCGACAAAGACTACTCACTTCTGCCTAGCTTAATAGTATGAGATTGCCGCAGCTGTATTGTCATTTCAGTTTCCGTGTTTGAAAGCACTATATGTTGAGCCACCTCAGCTAGATTTGGCAAATGACATTTTTAGCGGCAATCATTGGTCGATTTTCTAGCGTTGCCATTCGAGGAGTTGTAATGAGGCTTTTTTTGTCGCCGTGTGAGAGAAATATATATATAGATAATGCAGTTGCTCAAGGTCAACTCATGATAGTTAAAAATTACCAGAATTAACAATTTTCTCCGGTACTTATCCTTTTCAGTCGGAAGTAAAAATCCTATTTCCACATAACTTTTGGTACCAATAATAGTATTTTTAGTACCTATTAAAAACACCAAATAACGTAATACCAGAAATACCTTTTACCAAAATTAGTTAAGCACCATTGGCGACAAAAATAATATGGTGATTTTTTAGGATTCTCCTAGACGTTTTATTCATTAATTGAACTTTGTAGTACCTAACTTAATTTTATACTTCATTCAGAAACTTTTTACCACAATTAGTTAAGCATTATTAGCGTCGATAACAATATGAATTTTTTTCTGCTTCTCACAGACGAATTCCATTCTCCTTCATAATCATATCTTCATTAATTTACCTTTTAATAAAATTTTATTTTTTATTTCTGCATGAATAAATTACCAAAATTAATTAATTGTAGTTATCAAAAATTATTAGTAACAACAATTATATTTCGATAATCGTTTTGGACGATCAGTAGCGATACTTATTTAGAAGGGCTAAAAAAATTGTCAAACTATTATTGACGACAGTGATACTTATTCAAATTTGGTATTAAATACTACTTGTATTGTCGCTATAGGTGCTGTGGTAATAAGAACCTATTATAAAATATAGGTATCTAATTTAGGTTCAGTAGTATTAAGTTCTTTACCGACAATTGAAACAAATAAGTATCCTAATATTACCCTACTGCCGCATCCATGACACCTAATATACAACCTTTTTTATGAATGTTTTATATATTCCGATGCGGCTTCATACTATTAGATTTATCATAGTATGAGTTAGAAATTCAACTTACAGAAAGAACTGTATATAGTACATAGTATCATTTAGTAGACCAACTATATAGTATCATTTAATCCGTGATAGTCAGAACCAGGAAACCAAAGATAAATAGTTCATGAAAACGGGTGATAAAATTAATTATCAGTTAGAGCTGCAAGCTAGAAAATCACTCGCATTATAAAATATTTCTCAAATCCTAAGAAAAGCACTTTCTTTGGGATGTCACATGAGAAGCTGCGAACGTTGGGAGTTGTAAAGTACGCAGTTAGGTGCGCCATGTCTTCAAGTGTGTATGCACCAAATTTGGTGCTGATAGGCTCAGAATTGCTGATTTGTAAAAGATGCATGCATTCACACACATATACGTATATATAAAAACATTCTGTTTCATTAACATAGATTAGTATAAAGAAAAAATAGTAAGTATAATATAAAACACGATGATTAAATGAAACGATAAAAATTAATTATTTTAAAACTGATCCATTTAAAATTTTAAAAAAATGCTTTAATAAATATGAGAAGCACTAAAGCTGATTTGAGCACATTTAGAGAAGCACTAAATTTTTTAAGTCACTCACTAATAAATTATTGTTTCCAATTTCCTCTCTAAATATTGACAATCGTCGTCTGTCATTGTTTACATCCAACCCTACTTTTGCTTTAAACCTAAGAGAGAAGGAAAAAAAAACTGAAATCGCAATAAATCTAAATAATTCCATTTCATCAAATAAGGAAATTCAAGTTATTCTGTAGACATTCAGTTTAGCAAAAAATTTTGAACTATGCAATGAGAATATAGAGATTAAATTCTAAGATTAAATTCTCAAGATTAACGAAGAAAGTAAAAGAGTCAACCACGATTAAAAAGGGCATTTTTTCTGACAAATTATCTTAATGGATGCTAAGAATTTTTTCAGTTAAGATTAAGTCTCCTCATTGATCTAAGCATGTAAAAATGTACTTAAAACGAAATTATGACTTTTAATCTCTAATTTAATTACAGCTTCAATCTTTTGACAATAATAACGGAAAAAAATAGTTAGTTTAATAAAAATTAATGTGGTCATAAATTATTAAAAGTCCATTTGAATAAATCAGTGGTGCTTAGTTACAAGAAAGAATATTAAAATGTCCTCTTTTTTTGCTTTAAAAGCATTTTTCAGTTTTGCAAGAGATTTTTTTTCTAATACTCATGCAGATGCATTATATATATAATATATATATATATCTCAATAAATAAATACAAATTAGACAAAAAGAAAAACGAAGAAAATTTAGAAAATCAATAAGTTTTATTTACTGCGCATAAGTTGCAA